TATACAACCGATAAAACAATTCAATCCACAGAACAGCGAACGGGGATTTTGTGGTAGCCTATTGTCCGTTTAGTGCGATTGCCTTGATCAACTGTTCTGCCTTTTCATCTTGTACGGTAAATCTGCATTCAAACCCAATTGGGTGACTGAAGTCATAAGGATTAGAATAGAAGTCAATATGGGAAGTAAAGACCCACCGAGTCATTTTGTCTTCGTACTCGACTGACGTTGGATCAGGCACCCCTTTTCCTTCCAAAGGAACGACCTTGAAGAGCGAAAAGATGGTGATCATGAAGGATATTATCATATGGTCCGCTAGGTACATGCCGGGGCACACCCTAGAGAAAAGTGCGCATGTCAGCAATCAGTCCATTGACGTTCACATCCCGGAAAAGTGAAGTAGTCACCTCATTCCAAATCCAAAGGCAAGTGAGAGAGGGTCAGGTCTCTGTGACGCGCTCTCTTCCAAGAATCTCTCTGGTCTAAATACTTCTGGATCTCCCCAGACCTTTGGGTCATTGAGCATATAACTGCCATTCCGTACTTTTTAGATCATTCGATGTAGCAAATCAAGGGAATTACTTACCCAAAGTTCAGGTGAATGGATGTACCCTTCGGGACAAGGTAACCCCTGATAATCTCGTCCTGATCGTTGACATGGGGTATACCTATAAATTGAAAAAGATAAGGGCCATCAGAAAGATGATGGGAGATGAGAATATTTGAGTAATGACTGACCGATTGGCACATATGTACGCCAGCGGACACACTCTCTAAGAACGGCCAAGGTAAAGGGTAGGTTGGATCTGTCGGCAAGATGTGGTAACCGTTGGCCATGCGTAACAGACTGGATTTCCTCAAACACCTTCTGGACTACTTCTGGGTGAAGGAAGAGAGCGTGAAGAGCGGCAATCAATGCACTTGGTATCTAGTAGGCCGTAGATCAGCCAGCGCGAATATTGTCAAGGCCATAAAGATATACCATATTAGATCCAGCTAGCCAAGTATTTACGTTAATACCTATCTGTCGTGACGTGAAAGTGGATGGACGCACCTGAGAAGATTGTTGCCGAGGCATCTCGCACATCGTCTTGATCACCAAATTCTTCTAAGAACTCGTAAAGGAGACCGTGTTCCAGTGACCCGGATTTCTGTGAAAGCGCCTTTGTCAATATAGTTCGACAAAGGGTTGAGGCGGCTGCTTACATATAATTCCAGACCCCTCTTGTATGGCTCATATCGCACTTTCTGAGTCAACTTGCCTGCGTTCCGGGTAATAGATCTAGATAGCACCGTTGAGTCTCTTTTATAGGCAGGGAAATACGAGAGTCCTACTTGAACGGTACACCAGGGAACCAATCTGGTATAAAGCGCACTAATCCGGCATATAAGTACGTGCACGCAGAGAGTATTTGAAGACTTACAAAAGTGAAAGACGTCCACATACCAGAAGGTGAAGATCGCCTTGGTGAGGCGGTCCACTGCTTCTATATCCGCGCGGACCAGATCTTCTCCCATCTCGGCCCATATTTTTTCTCCGTACGTCAATTTGATTAAAATCTGGGACACAGCACTATTGTTTGGGGGTTTGAAATCGTCGGTCAGAGTTACACC